TCCCAGTACGGTAGTTGGTACATTCAACAATAGAGCACTGCACCCGTTGGATTTATCTGGTCAGCGATGATTTGAGTTCAACAGGATTTCCAGAGTAATCAATGTATGCATCAGTTATGGCTAGAGATATTAATCGTTCCCAGTGCGGTTGTTCGGGCATCCACCTGTAGAGAAATGTAGCCGTTGGATTATTGTGTTCAGTGATGATTTAAATTCTATTGCAATTCTAGAATGGCAAACGACTGACCCATTATCGCTCGAGACATTAGCAATTGATGAAACACTACTGAGTCTTTAGCCGTTGGACTAATTTGGTCCCTTATAGTTTAAGTTTAACAGCTATTCTAGAATAATCAATGCATAGTACGATTATGGTTGCAGATATTTACAATTGACAGTACGGAATTTTGTACATCCATCAACGGTGCACGGTAGCAGTTGAATTAATCCGTTCAATGATGATGTAGATACTATAGCAATTCTAGAAAGACAAAGGACAGGTCCGTTATAGCTCGAGATACTAACAACTGGTGGCACAGTACTAAGTACAGCCATCATCTCCGTACTGCATTCGCGGTATTAATCTGTTCACTGCTGATTTAAATTCCTCAGTAGTTCTGGAATACTCAAGGTATACGTAAGTTATGGATAGAGATAATTACAATTCCCATTACGGTAGTTGGTGCATCCTCCAATATAGCACTGCAGCCGTTGGATTAATCTGTTTGGTGATGATTTATGTTCTATAGCAATTCTGGAATGACAAAGGATTGACCCATTATTGCTCGAGGTATTAGCAATTGACGAAACAGTACTGAGTACAGCCATCATCACAGTACCTTAACCGTTGGACTAATTTGTTCATTTATAGTTTAAGAATAACAGCAATTATAAAATATTCATTGCATATTACGGTTATGGCTACGGACATTTACAATCGACATTAAGCTACTTAGTACATCCATCAACGGATTACTGTAGCCGTTGGAATAATCTCTTCAATGGTGACCTAAACTCTATAGTAATTCTAGAATCATCATCGTATAGAACAAATATCCGTAGTGGTATTGACAAATGACAATGCAATACTGAGTGAAGACAACTACACAGTACAATAACCTTTGTATTATGCTATTCGATGATCATCTAAGTTCCACAGCAATTATAGAATTATCAATGGATACAGCAATTGTCGTAGGAGATATTAGCGTATGTCAATACATTACTGAGTATAGCCACCAATACAGCTGTGTAGCCGATTGATGAATCTGCTCACTGATGATAAAAATTCTCTAGCAATTCTAGAATGACAATAGCCAGATCCATTATCTCTCGAGATATTAACAGCTGACGACCCAGTACTGAGTACAGGCATTATCACTGTACTGTAGCCGTTGGATTAATTTGTTCACTGGTGATATAAATTCTATTGCAATTCTAGAATGGCAAAGGACTGACCCATTGTCGATCGAGATATTAACAATTGACAAAACAGTGCTGAGTACAGAATCCATCACAGTACTATAGTCGCTTGAATAATTTGTCCACTGATATTTTAAGCTCAACAGCGAATCTAGAATAACCAATGTATGGTACAGTCATGGCTAGAGATATTTCCATTTGAAAGTACGGTTCTCAATACATCTACCAATAGAGCGTTGTAACATGTGGATTATTCTGCTCAGTGATGATTTAAATTCCTTCGCAATTCTAGAATGTCAAAGGACTTACACATTATTGCTCGTAACAATAACAATTGACGAAACACTACTGAGTACATCAATGATCACAGTACTTTAACCGTCTAACTAATTTGTTCACTGATAAATTAATTTTAAGAGCTAATTCTAGAATAATCATTGTATCTTACGGTTATGGCTACAGAAATTTACAATTGGCATTACGGCACTTAGTACATCCTTTAACAGAGCACTGTAGCCGTAGAAAAAACCTGTTCATGATGATGTAGATTCGCTCAAATGTTGAACCACTCTATGATTCAAATTATTCTATATGGAAAGAAAAAGTAGAAGGAATTATACGATCAAAACGATTATGGAAGATAGTTATTGGGGTAAAACCATTGATAAAATCGTTCGAGGTAGAATTAAACTATGAAGACAAATTAAAAATTTGGACGAAAACGATTACGGTAATCATGCAGCTATGGCAATTATTATTAACACGATGTGTAAGGCGGAATTATTAAGATATAATAGAATAATAGGTTCTGAAAAATTATGGTTAACGATCAAGGAAGGTATGGCTCCGGACACGGAAGAATTAAAGATGCGATCTCGTAATGAACTATCGAATATCAAAATGTTTAAAGAATGGACCGTTGAAACGTTCTTGAATAGAGCAGAAGTTTTAAAAGACCAATGCATTCTACTGGGAAGGAATGTTGAAGTCTATGACTTTAAAATGTATGTATTACGAGGATTTCTACCAGAATATGACCCAAACGTGTCGGTACTAGAATCGTAGAGGAATATATCTGTTAATAAAATAAGATTTGCGTTAAAACCGGAAGAAATTAGAAGAGCAAATAGGAAAGAAGAAGAAACTAATAGAGAATACGAAACAGCGAGGAAAGTGAAAGAGAGAAATAGAACAGACGGTAACAGCTACAATTGCGGGATCAAAGGACACATGGCGCCTGATTGTAGTCGAAGTAAAAAATGTTTCAACTGTCAGGGATTCAATCACATAGCAGCATATTGTCGCGAAAGTAAGAAAAACGGAACACCATTGAGAAGATCGTGGGGGAAGTATGAGACAATACAGTGAAAGAGTAGATTCCTCGTTAAACACGCGTGAAGAAGCAGTAATGAGGATTAGTGAAATTTCAAAGAGAGACAAATTATACGAGGTGAGTGAGAAGAATGGAAATTAAATAAACGAATGTGAGGATAACAATTATCCTATATGGCTGTTGGAGTCCGGATCTGCAAGCCATATGACTAATAGCGAACTAATTTGAGATAATTTTGTGGAAGAAGAACGAAAAATTAGTATGGCAGAAAACGCAGGAAAGATGCGAATGAACCTCGAAGGGAATCGGAAGTGTCACATTCAAAGAAGCTTCTCCCAGTGATAATTTGAAATTAAAAAATGTATTGCACGTACCAGAGTTGAATTCCAATTTACTTTCGGTAGCGAATATAACTGACCGTGGCTACGATGTAAATTTCAATAAATATGGAGCAATTCTATACAACAAATTAGGTGGAATTCAGATGACCGCGGTAAGAGAACAAAACGCGTATTATGTGAGGACATCTATAAACCTTGAGAGGACTGAGGCAGTATTAACGGTAAATGAGGTATGACACAAACGATTAGGACATGCAAATAAAGAAATCGTAGAAGAAATGAAAAGGAGAAATCTGGCATTAGTGATTGATAGTTCTTGGGAAAAGGTATACGAGCCATATCTACAAGGAAAAGCATGTAAAGAGCCGCATCCGCGACATAATGCTGTATGGAGAAAATGTATTTTATAACTATGACATACGGATTTGATAGGTCCAGTCAAACCCTCGTCCTGTGGAAAGAAAAATTACATATTAAGTATCCTCGATGACTATTCGAGAATGATGTTTATGCAACTTCTGAGGGATAAAAGTGAAGCTGCTGAAGAATTAGAACGAATAATAAAGTTAAAGTAATATCAAACGGAACTGCGTTTGAAGAGGAATAGGCCAGACAAAGGTGGTGAATATTTAAGAAAGGAATTAAAAGGCTGGTTTGATTCAAATGGAATTGTTCACGAATTGAGTCCTCCTATGACACCTGAATGTAACAGAATTGCAGAAAGAGCGAACAGGACGATCATCGAAACAACCAGGACGATGTTGGTAGATTCAAAATTAATTCTTATTTTTTGGGTAGAAGCAGCGAATACAGCGGTAGACATTCGAAATCGGAATAAATCGCGGGAATATGGTAAAACATCATATGAGATTTGGTACAAAAAACAACCTAACATAAAGCAGGTGCCACTATTTGGATGTATAGAGTATTTAATATGTAAAGGAGAACGTATGACGTAATTTGAGGTAAAGACTTTAAAAGGAACATTTGTGGGATAAAACGAAAATAATTCATACCGGATATACATACCCGAAACAAAAAATATAAAGTGCGACTGTGACGTAAGGTTTGATGAAGAAAGAAACGGATCGGACCAGCTTCGGTACAAAGAAGGTAAAGGAGAAAATAATAAAAACCTAATTCCTGTTAATTTTGATGTAGAAAAAGATGAAGACGTTAACGAGGCTCCTCAAGAATAACTTGAAGGAGAAAGACAATTAAGAAATTTATTGAATGACGAGGAAAGTGCCAGTGACGAAGAAAGCAGAGATACAATAATTGAAATTGACAACGATGAAGCTACGAGGGTAGAGTAAAATAATGTTAATCAAGAAATAACTAATGAGCAAGTAAAACCGACAACTAGAAGAAAGGCTGGAAGACCGAAGAGTGTGACGAAGGAAGCAATTCAAGTAAAAAAGTATCTGAAAAAACGTGAACAAGAAAAATCGGATGAACAAAGGAACGTAGGGAGGTCTTCAAGGAATAAAAATCAAAAAGCAATAAGAAGTATTGAAGAAAAAATTCCTACTACGATAACAGAGGCACGACAATCTCCAGAATGGGATCAATGGAGAGAAGCAGTAAAGAGTGAAATAGAATCATTACAGAAACATCAAGTGTGGCACGTAGTGCATCGACCGAAGAATAAGAAGGTAATTAAGTGTACGTGGATATTTAACATAAAAGAAAGTTATGAAACTTTAAAGAGCAGATGCAAAGCATGATTAGTGGCATTAGGTTCTGCTCAAAGCCCTGGATTAGATTACGAAGAGACCAACAATTAGAATGGAGACATTGCGATTGTTATTCAGCATATGTGCAGAACATAAAAGAAAAATCAAGAGTTATGACTAAAAACTGCATTTTCGCATGGAACATTGGATGAAGAATTGTACAAGGAGATGACTGATGGTATTAAAAAGAAAAAGGGACAAGTCTGTAACATAAAGAAGGGTATCTATCTGCGGAAACAAGCAAGTAGGTGCTGGAATAAATATTTAACTGATACTTTGTTACAGATTGGTTTGAAACAGTGGGTACATGATCCATGTGCATTCTTTCTAAGAGACGGAAACAATTTTCTATACTGTGGCATACACGTGGACGATACGACCGTAGTCAGTAGTGAAGATCTATTTGCAGAAAAATATATTAATATATAAAAAAGTCATATCGAATTAAAGAGCCTTGGTGTAAGTAAACAATTATTGCGCATAGAATTTAATTACCAAGATCAATAATTAATTATTAGACAACAAAATTATATGAAAGGTTTATTGAATGTATATGGAATGAGTCATTGTAATGCGGAAAGTACGTCTATTGATGTAAATCAGAAATTGAACGAAGATGATGTCAGCCCGATGAGCGATGAAAAAAATTATCAAGAGCTGCTAGGAAGATTAATGTACCTAAGCGTATCAACGAGACCCAATATTTCATTTGCACTAAGTTGTTTATCACAATTTAGCAAAAATCCAAGAACCATGCACATGAACGCATTGAAGAGAGAACTCCGATATTTGAAAGGGACAATAAATTATCAAATGGAATATGGAAACACAAATCAGAAGAAAGGATTAAAGTGCAACACAGATGTTTCATGGGACAGAACTACGGATGCCAAGTCATGCAGTTGTATTTTAGTTTGCCGAAATGGAGATCTGGTCCATTGAAGAAGTAAAAAGCAAACAACGGTTGCACCCTCTTCCGCTGAAAATGAATTATAGGCGATGAAGGATGGATTAAAGGAAATTTCGTGGATGAGTGATTTGTTGAAAGAGATTGGAATGTCGTGTGAATGCAAGCAATTAGAATGTTATAATTTAAATGCGGTTAAGTTGGCAAACGGAGGTAACTTTAAAACAAAGACAAAATTATTAAATAAGAAGTGTCATTATATTAAAGAAATTGTATCCAACAATATAGAGAGAGTGACACATGTACCCAAAAGAGGTATGGATGCAAATTGCATGGCTAAAGCGTCGAGTGGACTAAATTTATTAAAGAATATAAAAAACTTTATGTGTGTTAAGACCTGTGAAACAAAGGGGGGAGATTGTGGTAGTGATTACATAGATTTCTGAGTATAGATTTGTTGGGATGAGTGGAGTAGATATGCGTGGGATTCTAATGCGTAATGAATTCAGGTTGTTATTGTGGTGGTAGTTGTCATAGTATAATTGGTATAATTGAGAAGAATGTTTGTGTGGAAGAATATATGTGTGTGACGAGTATAACTAAGAGTCGTGAAAAAAATTTAGTGCTTGTTGTACAGTCAGCAGAAAAAGACGTTGTGTGTAAAAGAGTCGTGTACAGATTATATCGTAGAGAGGAGCGAGTATATTTATACTAATTCAATTATAATATGTGTTCTGTTATTAAACGTTGAAATAAATATTGTTATTATTTCAACCACTGCTAACAAGTGTATAGTACGGTTATGACTGGAGATATTTGCAACTGATTGTGCGGTTCCTAGTACATGCAACAGCAGGGCACACTAGCCGTTGGATTAACCTGTTAAATGATGATATAGATTCTATAGCCATCCTAGATTTACAAAAGAAAGGTACGTTAAAGCTCGAGATATCAGCAATTGAGATAACAGTACTGAGTACAGCCATCAGCACAGTGATGCAGCGGTTGGATTAATCTGTTCACTGATGATTTAAATTCCACAGTAGTTCTAGAATAATCAATGTATACATAATTTAGAGATTGAGATATTTACAATTCCCAGTACGGTAATTGATACATGCACAAATAGAGCACTGCAGCCATTGGATTAATATGTTCAGTGATGATTTATATTGTATTTCAATTCTAGAATGACAAAGAATTGACCCATTGTCGCTCGAGGTATTAGCAATTGACGAAACAGTACTGAGTACAACCATCATCACAGTAGTGTAGCCGTTGGATTAATTCGTCCACTTGTGATGTAAATTCCAAAGCAAGTTTAGAATAATCAATGAATGGTGCGGTTATGTCGGGAAATATTTGTAATTGACAGTACGGTACTTAGTACATTCATCAACGGAGCACTGTAGCCGAAGAATTAACCGGTTCACAGATAATCTATATCCTATACCAATTACACAATGACAATAGACAGCTCCGTTATCGTTCGAGATATTAACAATTGACATAATAGTTCTGAGTACAACCATCATCACAGTACTGCAGCGGCTGTTTTAATCTGTTCAGTGACGGTTTAAATTCCACAGCAGTTTTAGAATAATCAATGGATGCATTAGTTACGGCTAGAGATATTTACTATTCCCAGTACTGCAGTTAGCACATCGACCATTAGAGCACTGTAGCCGTTGGATTGATCTGTTCAATGAAGATATGAATTCCACAGCATTTCTAATAGAATTAATGTATACATCGGTTACGGATAGAGGTATTTACAATTCCCACTACGGAGGTTGCTACATCCAACAATAGAGCACAGCATCCGTTGGATTAATCCGTTTAGCGATGATTTAAATTCCACAGGAGTTTTAGAATAATCAATGTATACGTCACTTATGGATAGAGATATTGACAGTTCCCAGTACGGTAATTGGGACATCCACCAATGGAGGAACGTGGCCGTTGGATTAAGCTGTTCAGTGATGATTTAAATTCTCTTGCAGTTCTAGAATGGCAAAGGACTCGCCCATCATCGCTCGAGATATAAACAAATGACGAAACAGTACTGAGAACAGCCATCGTCACAGTACTGTAGCCATTGGAATAGTTTGTCCACTTACAATTTAAATTTAACAGCAATTCTAGAATAATCAATGCATAGAACGGTTATGGCTACAGATATTTACAGTTTTCACTACGGCACCTGGTACATTCACCAACGGAACGCTGTAGCCGTTGAATTAACTTGTTCAATGATAATGTAGATCCTATAGCAGTTATACAATGACAAAAGACAGATCCGCTATCTCACGAGATATTAACAATTGACATAACTGTACTCAGTACAGCCATCATAACAATACTGAAGCCGCTGGATTAATCTGTTCATTGATGATTTGAATTCCACAGTAGCTCTAGAATAATCAATGTATACATCAGTTATGGCAGGAGACATTTATTATTCCCAGTACACTAGTTAGCACATCCACAAATAGAGCAATGTAGTCGTTGGATTGACCTGTTCAGTGATGATGTAAATACTATTGCAATACCAGAATGACAAAGGACTGGCCCATTATCGCTCGAGATATTACAAATGACGAAACAGTACTGAGTAAAGCCATCATCACAGAGGTTTAGCCGTTGGACTTATTTGTTCATTGATAACTTAAGTTTAACTTTAAATCTAGGATTATCAATGTATAGTACGGGTAAGGCTAGATACATTCGCAATTAACACTACGGTTCTCAGTACACCCATCATTAGAGCACTGTGGCCGCCGAACTGATCTGTTCAATGATGATTTGAATTCGACACCAATTCTAGAAAAATTAATGCATACATCGGTTATGGATGAAGGTATTTACAATTCCCACTACGGAGGTTGCTACATCCAACAATAGAGCACAGCATCCGTTGGATTAATCCGTTTAGCGATGATTTAAATTCCACAGGAGTTTTAGAATAATCAATGTATACGTCACTTATGGATAGAGATATTGACAGTTCCCAGTACGGTAATTGGGACATCCACCAATGGAGGAACGTGGCCGTTGGATTAAGCTGTTCAGTGATGATTTAAATTCTCTTGCAGTTTTAGAATGGCGAAGGACTCGCCCATTATCGCTCGAGATATAAACAAATGACGAAACAGTACTGAGAACAGCCATCGTCACAGTACTTTAGCAGTTGGAGTAATTTGTTCAGTGATATATGAAGCATAACAGCAGTTCTTGGATAATCACTGTATAGTACAGTTATGGCTAGAGATATTTGCAATTGACAGTAAAGTACTTGGTACATCCATCAGCAGAGCACTGTAGCAGTTGGATTAACCTGTGCATTGACGATTTGGATTCTGTAGCAATTCTAGGATGAGAAAAGACGGATCCATTATAGCTGGAGATATTTACAATTGACATAACAGTACGGTGTACAGCCATCATTACAGCACAACAGCCGTTGAGTTAATCTGTTCACTGATGATTCAAATTCCACAGTAACCCTAGAATGATCAATGTACATATCCGTTATGGTTAGAGTTATTTACATTTGACAGTACGATAGTTGGTACATCCGCCAATGGGGCAATGCAGCCGATGGATTAAGCTGTTCATTAATAATTTAATTTCTATTGTAGTTGTAGAATGACAAAGGACAGGCCCATTATCGTTCGAGATATTAAAAATTGTGGAAACAGTACTGAGTACATCCATCATCACAGTACTGAAGACGTTGGATTAATTTGTTCACTGATGATGTAATTTCCGCAGCAAGTCTAGGGTAATCAATGTATAGTACGGATATGGCTGGAGATATTTACAATTCAAATTACCGTAATTGGTGCATCCACCAATGTATCACTGTAGTCATTGGATTAATCTGTTCAGAGATGATTTAAATTCCAAAGCAGTTCTATTATAGTCAACGTATAGTACGGTTATGGCTTGAGGTATTTATAATTCACAGTGCGGTTCTTAGTACGTTTATCAACAGAGCACTGTAGCCGTGGCATTGATCTGTTCAATGATGACTTAGACACTATAGCAATTCTAGAATAGCAGAGGTCTAACCCACTATCGCACCAGACATTAACATTTCACTAAATAGTACAGAGTAAAGCCATCACAGTGCTTCACCGTTGTACTAATTTGTTCATTGATAATTTAAGTTTAACAGCAATTCTGGAGTAATCAATGCATAGTACGGTTATGACTAAAGATATTTGCACTTGACAGTACGGTACTTAGTACATCCACCAAAGGAGCACTGAAGCCGTTGAATTAACCTGCTCAATGGTGATGTCAAAAGACATAACAATTATTAACAATTGACATAACAGTTCTGAGTAGAGCCATTAGCACAGTGCTACTGCCCTTGGATTAATCTGTTCACTGATGATTTATATTCCACAGTAATACCATTATGATCAATGTATACATCAGTTACGGCTATCGATATTTGCATTTGACCGTATGGTACATGGCAGTTACACCGACAGAGCACTTTTGCCGATGGATTACTCTGTTCACTCATGATTAAACTCAGTAGCAATTCTAGAATTATCATTGAATAGAGCATATATCGGTAGTGATATTAACAATTGACAATACAATACAGATTGTAGCCATCCAGACAATACTATAGTCATTATATTAATCTCTACGCTGATCACCAAAGTTGTTCGGCAATTGTAGAATAGTCAATGGATAGATCAATTGTCGCTGGAGACATTGACATATGGCATAACAGCTCTGAGTACGGCCATCATCACAGAGCTCTAGGCGTTGAATTACTTTACCCACTGATGACGTAAATTCCAAAGCAATTCTAAAATAACCTATGTATTGTATGGTTATGGCTAGAGATATTTACAATTGATAGTACGGCACGTACTACAAACACCAACAGAGCACTGTAGCTGTTGGATAAATCAGTTCACTGTCGCTTTATATTTTATAGCAATTCTAAAATGGAAATAGACAGATCCTTTGTGCCTCGTGATATGTGCAATTGACAACACATCACAGAGTG